GTTGTTTGGTGTAGTAGAACCGCTTTCACTATAAAGGTTATGAAGGCTCCTCAAACACCCCACCAGCGGATCCATCTCCTTCTTCTGCCTCTTCTTCCCATGATCTCAAACAGTGCCCCATAGACAAAGACGAGCTTGGTGAGAAAAAATACTTCAGTTTGAGATAAACTTACGGTAATCTTAAAGGTCGCTCAACATGGAATCTTCTTCATACTATGAGCGTATACTACCCTGAAAAGCCCAACGAAGATCAAAAGAAAACAGTATTCCAGTTTCTAGATGCCTTATCCAAGGTGAGCAAGCATTTTTGAAGCCATAGATGGGTCCTTCATTTTTACCAAGGTGGCATAGATTCTCTTATTTGTAAATTCACTCGCATAAAAGAGCTGAACTTTGATATTGCACGAAAAAGTATAACATTTTTGTGCCACATTTTTTCGTTTCCTCAAAATTTTGACTGCTCGCACATATGGCATGCAAGGTACTAAATTTCATACAAGTTGTTTTTAGACATTCCCATGTGATTTCTGTGCGAGAGATTTGAGGAAAGATCTGAAAAAAGACCCTCCGAAATTGGACAGTCGAGAAGAATTCGCTTTATGGATGTGTCAGTTGCACAACAGGGTGAGTAAACAACCTACCTGCTTCATCACCTGCGATAGTGTCTGCTATCTTTGATGAGCTCTACCTTGTTCTATAACCAAGCTTTAAGGTAAACAAGAAAATTGGAAAAGATGAATTTGATTGCTCGAAAGTTTTTGAAAGATGGAAAGATGGCTGGAAGGATGGATCATGCGATTATTAGTCAACCTCACAAAGTGCTTCTGACTTGTTATTTGTGATACTTGTCATTCTTCTTTAATAGAGATCGATAGCTTTATTGTTGTATTTTCACTGTGTAGTCAGATTGCATGCAGCACGCTACGAGTAAGTGGAGCTGCTTTGACTTTGTTTTTTCAAGGTTTTTAATGTGACTTGTCATCTGGAGTCACCTAGTTGCCTTATAATTGAATTTTTAAAGCCAACATTATATCTCCAATGTCTGTTTTTGTAACTGTTCTTGGAAAAAAAGCGTTTGCTTTCATTCTACGAACATACATCTTTTTCAAGAGCAAGCGTATTATATGAGGTGCTGTTCACCATGTGACTTAGTTTGAATGTAGAATTCACATCCCTTGTTAGGTTCTTGTTGTTGTTATCGTTGGAGTTTAGCGTCATTCATCAATCTGATAATGGTAATAAAAATGGTACCGTGATATACAATAAAGCGCTTAATCTGATGCTATGCAGAGTTTGCGTTATTGAATATTAGGTTGTCTCAAAAGTAAACTCCATTTTTTCAGA